GGGGGGGGGAGAGAAGACAAAGCATCAGAGATGACAAAGCATCAGCTGGAAAACACATTTTAAAAGAACATAATTTTACTCACCAAGGCCAATGAAATTGACTCTTTCTGTAATCAGTTTCTAAAGAAATAGAAATCAGTGAAGTTTACCTGCCTACTTCCATGCTTGGAGGAGCAGCTGCTGGTACTTCTTGAAGGTGACAACATTTTCTGGGACACACCAAGGTTCTTTTCTTCACTCATGATCCCAGAGACAGTTTGGTTTGAACCAGTTCAATTAGAAAACCATAAGAAGGGCATTAAGCAAATGTAGTGGAAGACATGCGAAAGGCAAGTCATTGTTTATACCCAAATGCATTCCAATGGCATCCTCAGTGTCCCAGGGATATTCCTAAGAGGGAGAAAAAAATCCTTGTGTATTGGATACAGTTTACAATTCTTATTTTGTAATACGAATAAAAAAAATGCATAATTAAGTCTTTAAATGTAGTCTAACTACACTGCCATTTATGTTTATTATTAAAATGTAATTGAACTGATTTAAAGATAATTTTCAGACCTCAAATAGGAACAAACGAGCAGATTATTAATGCATTACATTAAAAATATTATATGACCACCTGGGACAAAAAAACCCAACAACTTTAAATGCAGTATCAAACAACTTTCAAAATATTAAAAAATCTCAATGCATGAGAAAGTAGACTTTATATAAAATGAAACTATATGAAAAAGTTAATAGATAAATAAGGAAGTAGTAGGCTCCAATGAATATACGACATGTGGTAGACAACAAGTTTCCACGGTACCTTGAAAATTTAGACAAATGAATAAGCATCTCCAGAGGTCAAAAACATGCGAGAGAAAAATGCAAGCAAGGATTATGCAAACTGAGCTACTTAGAGGTGTGCATGACTGACTATACCTGGAGCTAGAAACTAAAAGTTAAAAAAAAAAAAAATCCTAAATCAGGGCTAAAGAATTATTAATAGTTTGTTTAACAACAGTGGTGGCTACAGTATGTGTAAAAAATCTTGGGAGAAACCCTAAATGACAGATTTGCAGTGTGGGCAACTGTTACCATGGTGACTGTAGATTTTGTCTTCCCCACTAAAGGGCATAACAAAAGGATGCTTTCCAAGACCTTAAAAAAAAAAATATTACATAAGTTGAATCCCTCTAGACACTGTTGCTCACAAAACAAAACAGCCTAGCATCTTGCATAGCAAATGGAAAGAGTAGAGCTAAAAGATAATTATACAATGCATGAAGATTTCACTCCTGAAATAAGTGGGTTAAACTATCATAGGAATCACAGGAAAGTAGGGCTGGAAGGAACCCCACAAGGTCATCTACTTCAGCTGCTGCTCAAGGCATGATTATTCCTGCAAAGCGTGTCTAACCTGCTTTTGAAAGTTTCAAAGGGTGGAGATTCCACAACTCCTCCAGGTAGCCTGTTCCAACACTTGACCACCCTCAGAATCAGAAAGTTCCTACTCATCTCCAGCCTAAATTTCCCCTGATGAAGCTTAAGGCCATTGATTCTAGTTCTGTCTCCTACAGCCACTGAGAAAAGCCCATCTCCATCCTCTCTATAATCATCCTTCAGGTATCTGAAGACTTATCAGATCTCTTCTCAGTCTTCTCTTCTCCAGGCTAAATAACCCTAGCTCTTCCAGCCTTTCCTCATAAGCCTAGTCTCCCAGGCCCCTGATCCTTTTGGTTGTTCTGCACTGGACTCTTTTCAAACTGTCCAAATCCTTCAAGTGAGGGGCCCAAAACTGTACACAGTAATCCATGTGAGGCCTTGCCAACGATGAATAGAGCAGAAGAATCTAGTCCCTTTAATTTGCCAAGGACACATGTTAATTAATTCACCCCAGTATGTTGGCCTTTTTTTTTTTGCAACAAGAGCAGTGTTGGCTTATGTGGTTCACCTTAAAATGTACTGGATTTACCTAAATTCAAGATGAATTTGAATTTAAGACAACTTCAGTTATTAGATTCTGTGCATGGACAACTGTAAAAGTTGTTATCATTTCCCACAAAGAATTTAATTACTGGGGGGTCATCTTAAAATTTGTTCTCCACCCCCCCCACCAACAGCTGTGGCAGGGAAAGTGGGGATGGGAGATAGGGAGCCAAGAAGACTGCCCTTACCATGCCTGCTCCTGTCCCCCCACCATTCCTCCAACTTTTGCTCCCCCATCCCTGTGCCTTCCCCATTACTGTCTGTCCCCAATATATACTCCCCCCTGCAACTTGCCCCACTCTATGCTTGTGCCTACCCTAATCCCCCTCCCTTCCCCCTCCCCATCTCCTGTCCCTACCCTGCCACTGGTGAAATCAGAAGATCCTTAACAAATGGAGAGGCTTAAATAACATGTTCTTAAAAAATGTTTAAGATACTCCTATATATAAACTATAACAGCAGTGCCTTCAAGTCTGAAGTTAGTGCTGTTTGCTTTAGCTTAGCATTTGTAAGTTCTTATCAGAGGTCTTCTCAAATAAATAATGCAGCATGTCTTTAAAACAGTTTAATGGAAGTTTTGCTATATATTTCCTACTAAGAAGCCTCTTTTTCAGCTAAAAAAGTCATTTCCTTATAGCATTCCTCTTATTTTGTTGAAATAAGTTAGCTTTATGGTTTTGTCCACACCCCGCAACACTGGGCCATGTAGAGATATACCATGGCTGGTTCTGGACAAGCTAACTCAGGTACCAGAAACAATACAGGCACATCAAGCTTCTTCAGCACTACCTAGACCATTTCTGCACAGCACTGCATTGTCACACTGACACTGCCCAAGTTACTGCAAGAATAGCCCCAACCTCCTTTAAAGGAAAAAGTGATTTACTATGACTTGAAGTGGTTCTAGATTATGTATCTTGTACTAATTAAAATTGTTGTGATGAAGGGTGTTGCAGTTTGAAAAAGTCAATTTCCCCCCCCCCCAATCTGGACTGATACTTTTCCCTTTGGCAGTCTCTCTTCTAACTCAACAACACACTGCAAAGTAAAACAAGTATTTTTTTTTTCTCCAAGTGGTCCTCTTACAGGTTGACAGTATCCCTTTACAAGCAGATGTTAAAAAAACCTTTGCGTAAAGAAGTCAGATGCTAATTTGGATAAACCCATTGCTCTGTGCAATACAGAAAATGTTTCATTAGCAGGCCCTGTTTACAAGGTGATTACAGCCACCCTCTTAAAGGTCAGTCTTGCGGCTCAAAAAGACCAGTCAACCATTTAACCTCCATTGTTAAAGCAACTGACATGCTTGGAATACAGAGTTCTGAGACACTAGTAACCATAAAGCTGGCTCTCGTTTCCAGCAAAGCACCAAATTATTACTGTCAGAGCCCCTCTACACAAGCAGGTAAACGCGCAATGGAACCTAAAGCGCAATCGACAATTGTACTTCCTGCCATGCCCCATGTTTATAGCAGGAGGTGTGATTGTGCATTAGATTCCACCATACCTCCTGTGGCCTGCTACACATGCAAATTAAGTCTGGATACCCAGCAGCTATTAAGTTAGTACACATTTTTGAGGTCTAACTTTATAGCTGGTTGAACTGTTTTATGGTATGATAGCTACTTTGCACAGGTATCTGGTTTCAGTTAATTGTGCAATTAACCAGGTAATTGTGCAACACCTGTAATATGTAGAGGGGGCCTCAGAGTACAGCTAGCATATCCTGGGGCACATTAGGCTCAAGTTCTGTGAAAAAGTACCTCCCTGATTTCTAGCACATGTAACATTACTTTGCATTACTCTGTGGGCTTTAGATAAATTCAAAATTAGACGTTTTTAATTAACAGTGTGAAACATGGTAATTTCAGTACAGTATCTTCCATGTTATTTGGCTTGGAGTCCTGAAGCAAGAGACACAGAAGCCCTGCAGCAGTGGATGGATGTAGTACTCCCCTGAAGCCAGTTTTTGCTTTTCCCCTTTAATTTTTGGGATTTGACTTATTAGTTGATAGGGAGCAGAAGAATACATGCAAAGTGTGCCTTCAGGAACAGGTGTGTGCGTAGGGCAAGGGAAGGGAGAACAAGATTGAATATTAATAGACTCTATTGCCTCAGTTTGTTTTGTATAACATAATCGGTGCTTCCAAATTATACTTCACAGTACAAAATGACGAGTGTAAGAGTTTCAATGCTCCATGTAAAGACTGTAGAAATACTAGGAATGTGCTACAATCCACCTGTCAAAATGGATGCATCAGTTGGTAGTGTCCGTCTTTTTTTTTTTTTTAAACCCTTCAACCTTGTGAAAATTTGAGAAGATAAGTCTCTAACCATCTTGCATTTACAACCAAATTGTTCCCCCTGCATATATGCTTGCACGTTACTTGCCATTTTGACTCTTTAAATAATTTTAAAGACAGTTTGACATGCTTTGTAACTACTGCATCTTTAAGGACTTTTCTTTTAGTCTTCTGTGAGAGGAGTTGCACAATTTCAGTTTAAGGGTATATGGTCTCATTGCCCCTGTATCGAGTTTTTTTTTTTTTTTCTTTCTTTTTTTTTTTTTATAATTCATTGCTTTCCATATGACAACATGCAGAGGCTGCAACACTTCCACATTCTATGGCTGCTGCTCATTATATGAAATTATGATAACTTCTCAATTGCTGATTTTATTTCTTGTAGTTTTCAAAGTAATAAGCTCCCACAAAATCTCAGTGATGTCACAGCTCACAAAGGGAAAAAAGGGAGAAATTACAAAATTTGGAAAACTGCAATACAAATCATCAACATCAAGGTCAGGTACAGATGTTACATTTATTTTGTGGTAGGTATGCAGAAAGTGCCCTACAGTCATAACCAAACAGACAGTCAGGGAACAGAGTGAGATCTACCTTTTTTTCTAACGTCTAGTCCTCATTAGCAGTCCCTTGATTTGAGCATGATCTCTACCATGACTTGTTGATGGATCTTGAGCTGACTTAGAAATCCAGTCCTTGAGTC